CTCATGTCCAGCTTCTCATCCACCAGCACCCCCAAGTCCCTTTCCTCAGGGCTGCTTTCCAATCCCTCACCCCCTAGTTTGTATTGGTGGCGAGGATTGTTCCGGCCCAGGTGCAGAACCTTGCATTTGCTCTTGTTGAACCTCATGAGGTTCACCTGGGCCCACCTCTCCAGCCTGTCCAGGTCCTTTTGGATGACATCCCATCCCTCTGGTGTATCGACAACACCACACAGCTTGGTATCGTCCGCAAACTTGCTGATGGTGCCTTTAATCGATAGCAGAGTTTTATTTTATTGGAAGGAAGGAGGATTTTTTACCCTGTACTTCGTGCTCGGCGTTCCTTGGGTTTAATAGCACTGATTTTAGCACACCTGAGGAGCGAAGAGGCTTGGTGGCTCAGCGAGGGGCTGGAAGTGCGAGCGAAAAGCCACGCGAGGGAGCTGTTGGAAGCAGTAAAGCTGCCGGTTTCTCCTCATTCAGCAGCCCCGTGCTTTGAAAAGGCAGCCAGCAGAAGGTGGTTAAAACTTTCAGGAGGCTCACAGCATCTCTAAAACGAAGTTTCTGCAGGGAGGGAACTCGCCTGAAAATTTACAAATCGCTTTTGAGAAAAAAAAACACCAACAAAACCAACCCACAAGTAAATATCTGTGCGAAACCTATTTAAAAAAGTTATTAAAAAGCTATTAAAAATGAGATCTTCACTAGATAACACATGCCTATAATTTTAAGGTTAAATGTTTTAACTTCTGCTTGGTACAATACGTATGTCAGTCCTTAGGGACTAGACAGAAGATTACCAGTGTAGCAGTGATATTCTTTAATAGTGTTATAGGAGAATAACACAAAAAGTACTCTATTTTTAGTCTGCAGTTTTCCCAGCATCATGTTCATTTCAAGTAGGAAAATACATTATGTAATATAGATACGATGCCATTTTGCTGCTGAATATGAACTTTGGTGTGTTTGAGGGGACAGACCTGCCTAGATCATTTGGCTCAAGCCCCATCACAGCTCTGTTCTCCACTTGTCTCCCTTGTAGGTATTTCTCTGTATGGGTACAATACGTATGTCAGTCCTTAGGGACTAGACAGAAGATTACCAGTGTAGCAGTGATATTCTTTAATAGTGTTATAGGAGAATAACACAAAAAGTACTCTATTTTTAGTCTGCAGTTTTCCCAGCATCATGTTCATTTCAAGTAGGAAAATACATTATGTAATATAGATACGATGCCATTTTGCTGCTGAATATGAACTTTGGTGTGTTTGAGGGGACAGACCCTCCTAGATCATTTGGCTCCAGCCCCATCACAGCTCTGTCCTCCACTTGTCTCACTTGTAGGTATTTCTCTGTACGCTCTGAGGCCTCCACTGGAAAAACTCTGGATGCTTTACAGAGTCCAGCAGGAATTAAACACGTATCTGAACTCCTAGCCAGTCTTAAAAAATGAATGTAAGCAGTAAATGGCTCAAGTCATGTCAAATACGTAGGGCTAAACGTGGATATTAATTATATCACTAGAGGGACTCAATTTACTTTGTAAAGCAATTAAAAGAAGACAGAAACTTACAGTCTGTTTCTGGAAAAGAGTAATGTCTGTTTAAAAATAACTCCCTACCCAGAATAGCCTGCCTCTCTCATATAATATCAATTGAGGGGGGGGGGGGAAGCAAACCATGCATTTACAACACTTCTTCTTTGTGGAAAAATCAAAGCCAAGTTTTAAAACAATAGAAGGTGACAGTTAGGTGCCCAGATCCACACTGAGGCATGTAAACAAAGGATTTGCTTTTCAAACCAGCTGAACAGCACATTAAAAGTTAGCTTTCCCTTGTTTATTTCCCTTGTGCAGGATAAGTCAGTGAAAGAGGCCTGAGTTCCTGTGGACAGGTTTAAGGAGGTAAAGGGTTAGAGGGTTCATTTTTTTAATATAGAGTGCAACTTAATACTGCTGTGATTATTCTGGTAGTCTGTCTATTTTTAAATTTTCTTTTTAAATGTATTTCTTGCTTCGGAGTGGGTAGGTAAGGATTCCTTTCAAGCTTATTAAGCAGAACTGGATTTTGTTCTTATATCCATAAGCGAAGTGTATCTGTAGGAAAACTCCATTTACTAAAAGCACCTGCTCCAACAAGCCTCCTGGTGGAAAACTAGTGTATCCTTGGATACTTTACTGTGTTTTAGTTTTGCTTTGAGGGGGTATTCCTAATACTCTCTTCTTTACAGCATACCCTCTAAAAAATAACTACAGGAGTTACTTTTGTCTTCAGAGTATAGCACAGCATCAACACTTCTCATCTGCCTTTTTTTATTGCTCCCCTAATTTGCATATATTAGAAAGAAACAGCAGGTTTGGTTGGTCTGCTCAGTACTGCGCTTTATTATTCCTTTTTCCAGGAGTATCAGGCTTAAGGTTTGTCTGTGCCGTTTCCCCCTCTGCCCTGTTGTGAATGTGACTATAGTGGGATTTACAAAAAGAACAAGTTTCATGCAGACAGGCACGACAGCAGGAAAAGAAGCTGAGATTGTGTTTGTCTTGATTGTTTATTTCAAAACTACAGTGAGAAAGAGCTTCAAAAAACCACCTGAAAGCTCTCTGAGAGACAGCATTTGGGAGCCAGGGGCTATTACCTTTATACTTCAGTAGAATCTCTGTGCTTTTATGTCACTGTTTCTAAAATGAAAAAAAGAAAAAAGTTGAAGACAGAGAGAAAGAATATCAATTCTGAGTGTCTTTCTCAGGCAAAATTCTGCTGAAACTAGAAAGTTCGTATAAACAAGGACTTCCAGACATGACAGCAAGAAACTTTTAACTGTTGTACAGCAATTTTGAAATCTTTTGGTGAGAAAGGATGGGGTCCTGTGCTGAAGCAATCCGTGGCAACGCAAATAGCTCCGTTTCCACTCTCTTCAAGGAGCTCAAATATGCTCATGGTGATGTCACTGTCAAGGGTGAGCATCAGACATCAGTTACTTCATTCACTTTGTGATGCCAGCAGGGTTGCTTTTGCATTTTCAAATGTGGCTGAGCCAGTAAAATATTACCTTCACTGTTAAAACTCCAAGAACAATTAGCAATATATATATATAGTGGTCTTTTAAGTATCTTATTTTTCTTTAAAAGGCCTTAACTTAAAAAAAAATAAATACTAATAAAATACACTTAGAAAGGGAGAACATATATCTGCTTTACTGCTTTAAAATTGCATTCCTTCCCGAATTTTGCACTCTTGTTCATCTGCACTTACCACCAATGAGAGACAAGTGAAATACTGATCCTAAGAACATCAAATTGCATCCATACTGGGCACTTTACTATGTTTAAATGCGCTCTGCAGCTCTTTCAGATGGTTTTCAGGTGAGCACAACCTAGCGCACGGGCCAGAAGACAGCCACTCTGTGTACCAATATTTACCCCATCTAGACAAAAAGGGAAGGAAAACTATGTGGGATACTGCAGATTCCACCTGTCTGGAAGTCCACATTCCCATTAACATGAGCAAATCAAACTAAATTGGCTTCTCTGTGGCGATCTTGTCCATACTGGGCACTTTACTATGTTTAAATGCGCTCTGCAGCTCTTTCAGATGGTTTTCAGGTGAGCACAACCTAGCGCACGGGCCAGAAGACAGCCACTCTGTGTACCAATATTTACCCCATCTAGACAAAAAGGGAAGGAAAACTAGGTGGAATATTGCAGATTCCCATTAACATGAGCAAATCAAACTAAATTGGCTTCTCCGTGGCGATCTTGACAAATTTTTAAAGGATAAGGAAATTTTTTAAAAAGTTCTCTACTGCTCAATGTATAAAGGTACATGAAGGCTTCTTTATTGTGTACAGGAAACACAGCTGGAGGCTCTTTTTAGTGTAACTGCCTGATGCCCAGATTTACTTTTTTTAATCTGAATTGCAGATCTGCATGGTGCTTCACTTTTCCAACAGTCAAAAAAAAAAAAGTCTGTAGCTTTATACCCTAGTAAAGAAAAAAAAAACAAAAAAACCCCAAAAAAACCAAACAACATTGATACATCCACCTTATATCCAGTTTATTTAATACCATAACAGTAATTACAAAGAAGAAGTTTTCCAATCTGGCAATGCTAGAGTTGGTGAGATACAGCTGCCTGACAGATGAACAGTCTATTAGTAGTTCTGGAATTCCATGGGTGCTGGAAAGCTGAAGCATTTATGTAAGTAGTCTTCAAGTTCAGCCTCACAGATACTGACAGTACAGTTAAATACACTACTCCTGATATGGCAGAGCAGCATCTGCATAGAAACGTAGCAACACTGTGTCTATCAACACTGAGAACTAGATTCCAATATTTGTAGTCTTAAAACAAGTTAAAAAAAAAACAAAACACAAAGTAGTATCTTTTCCTTATAAGAAGGAAGTGATCTTTGGTCAACGCTTATTAAAATGTGCTTTAGTTTTACCTCGCAACAGTAATGCTAAGATTATATAGCTTTTTTTATGTTTTATACAGAAGTGGACATTTGAAAATCAGTATTCTGCTGTGACTGATAAAGGAATCTTACTAGTTTCAATGCAGGTAAAATTTCAGAGCGGAGGTAGGCTTCAACTCAGCAACTTACAAAGACTGAACCCCAGCTGTCTTCTGGAATGGGTAGGAGGCAGTAATTTATCTTCAGACCACTTCTTTTCCCTTTCATAATTTCTGTAGGAGCACAGCACTTTCCAACACGCTGGGCTAAGCCCTGTTGGAGTGAAGTCTACAGTAAGAGCTCTGAATGTCAGTCGACAACAGATTTAGACTCACCTGATGTTTAATACCCACATTTGACAAGTGTAGCTAAAATACTCCTTAGTGCTCTCCCAAGTGGCATTTCAATACCATAGCGATGTCTTGTTTTAAAAGACACTGGTCCTTATGAAAAACACTCTATGGAAGTGAGGAGCACGGGTGTTGCCAGCAGGCTGACCTTTAAACCCAGGCAGACATCCTAAAAAACTTGTGCTCTTTGCCAGTCCATGTGCTTTTTCAAGCTCGCCCTCCCCTCTAAAACTGAACACCATCCACCTTTACAGGTAAGGAAACTGCTACAGCCCACAAAAACCTCCTTGTGAAAGGGATCAGCCCAAAAATATTACACTGGCCTGAGCCATAAAATTATTTCACTAAAGAATGACCTTGCCAAAACAGTCCAGTGCTCCCTGACTAACATTTCACTAACATTTCACTTCCCGCCCTCCTCAACCCTCTCTACTTGCTTTCACCACTCCAAAAAAAAAAAAAAAAAAAGATACTGAAACAGGAGACAACGCTGCTTTGTTTATCTTTTTCCCTACTTCTGGTGCCTCTGCAAGGCAGCTTTGCAGGTAAATACCTTTTGTAGATTTCCCATTTAATTCATACGGATTTCAGCAGGTGTTAAGGACCTTTAGGTACACCAGGATCTGAGCCATCCTTCCTTGAGTTAAATACAAATACATTATCAGGTGAAGCAGCAGTATTTTGCTTTTCTTCAGTGAAAATGTTCTTGCACAAAAAAAAAAAATCAACTACTACTCAGAATTCTGAAGTAAGATTTTGATTAGCAAGGCTGAGTTTATTGGAAATAACTGTTTATACTTCAGTCACACCTAGAAGCTCTATTGAAGACCATGTTGATGTTGAATAAATACAGTCTAAGACTGTCCTCTGAAGAACTTAGGAGATAAAGGGTGAGAGGAGCAGCTTAGAGTTTAAGTGACATAGCCCTAACACAGTAAATGTGTAGCAGAACTGGGACTAGAAGGTCAGGTCTTCTAGGTTTAGACCCTGTCCACTTGCCCATACTATCTTCCACCTTTGGTTTCTACTCTCTTACTCCTCCAGACATTGACCTTTGGAGGAAATTGACTGAATCCCAAGAGCTGCCTGTGCTCCATTATTTCAGCTTGATCCTACTTCAAGACTAACCATCTTTTACACAGATTTCCTTCTCTTTCCAAACACATTGTTGATTAACTTGGCCATTGACTTTGATCCACTTGGTCGTCTCTTTTCCTTCACTTTGAAATTTGTGGTGATATTCCTCAGGACTTTGGTGAACATTGTCACAACTTCCTGGTAATGTTCTGCTGCAGACAGTTCACAGAATTGGCACTTGTTATCTATAGCCAGCTTCTGTCCTTCATCCCAGCCAACTTCCCTCATGTGGCATAAATCCTGTTTATTACCAACCAAAAATACTGAGGACTCGACCATTCTGAAATCAAAAAGGTTCCGATTAGAGAAAAGGTATGTTACAATACTGTGTTTTATGCTGTGCTATAGACAGTGGGTATGAAAAGTCTGTATGTTCAGGATAACAGGCATTGCAAAAAAACCCCACAAACAAACAAAAGAACAAACCAACCCCCTAACTTTGTCAGGTAGATTTATAGTTTTCCATTTGGATTTTCCAGACACGCTATTCTCTATGAGCAAATTTTCATTTTTGTTCCTCTACTTGGTGTATTCATGTATTTTTCATCCACTACAGTTTTCATACTCTGTACTGCTGAGTGTATTATCAGCTCGTGGACTTCATGAAGAAGCAAACTGATCATTATCTCCATTTGTAGGTAACAGAAGAGAGTCAAAGAGATGCATCAGTGTCAGTGGCATAATTCAGAAGAAAACAAAAGAATCTGAAGTTTTGCTAAAATTACCTCTTCCAGAGAAACCTTAATTAAGAAAGGTAAGCAGTAAAACAGACAGAAAAGTCTTTTGTTTTTTTACTCCACATCTGATAAAAGGAAGGGTATTCACTCTCATTTATTTTGAAAGCACCTCAGCTGACTGATGCAGGAATACAAAGGACCACATGGACACAGACTTGCAATTTTGGTGGTTCTTTTTGAAAGTAAATAGTTTGTTTTTTACCAAATGGTCACCCATGTGGCACAAATAACGTTGGGGACACTGTTAAAGGCAATTTAGGAGACATTCATGGTGTTAGATTAATTTATTGTGAGAAATGCTTTCCTCCACACACACGTTGGTGCATCTCCTTGGGTAAAAGAGTGGAGGAGTAAAAACAGAGACTGATATACCAGCTTTTAACCCATGTAAATCACAGCAGACAGATTTATGGCAATTATATAAATAGCAGTGCTGTAAGAAAGAATAACAAAAAATCTTGATGTACTTGGCTTTGGATACAGTGAAATCAATTGCAATTTGCAACACGGTTTACCTTCAGGAACCTTATTGTTGGTATTGTGTTATGCCACTAGGATGCTGCTGGATTTTTAATTGCTACTAGGATGCCTACAGCTCACAGAAGTGTTCCCAGCTTTTTTAATACGTTTGCTGAGGGGAAAAAAAAAAAAATAGAAAAATGGTGCCACTTACTTTTTACAAGCTCCTATGTGAGACTCTCGGATCCTGTACAGCAATGCTTTTGCAAATGCAAATGATGCTCTGTCACTGATGTCGTAAACAATGATAAATCCATCAGCCCAGTGGAGCTCATCTGTGAGGGAGAGCTTCCCCCGCTGTGGCTGAAAGGAGTTCAAATTCACATGCAAAAAGAACGTTACTGTTGTCACTTCAGAGCATTTTCTTTGTCACTGTTGAATGTGAGAACGTTGTCTCTTTTATTGCGAAAGATATTAATAGGTCTAAGTGCTGGCACTGAATTCAGGTGAGTCCCGCTCCAAGAGCCTAATAAATAACCATCCCTACAAGATGGCACTTTGGATCACTGACAAATTCATTATGAAACATTTACACTTTGTTTAAGCAGTAAAATTGCACAACCTGCACAGCTATTGCTTATGCTGAATATTCTGCAGAGTTACACGAGTACGAAACGTACAGGAGCCATCGATATTTGTGCAGTTTCTGGTTATTGCTCTGTTTTGCATGTTCCTAATATTCTGACTACAGTAAGCTTAATTATTTTCTTCTGTTTCTTAATTTGTTTTATTTCTTTTTTGCATTTTTCAATCTGAAACAGTATTTACCCACAGGGTAAATTTCTAGAGAGCTAGAAAAAAAAAATAATCTTCCAATCTGCAGTTGACTTCAATGAAACTAGTGACAGAAGTCACGTTATAATGGGGTTACACCAATCATTGTGTCCTTTCACCCCAAGGAACCATCACACTTACAATTTCTAGAAAGCAGCAGCTGCAAACTGTTCCATTATGCTAAATTAAAAAGCTATTTTTAATTAGCTTATTCCTGTAGATGATTTGGCACCAGCTAGCAAGACCATGTCACCCAAGACAGGTAAAATACTGGAAGCTGACCAGGAAAAAATAACTGAAAAAAATTATTTTTGCTCTATGGAAAACCCATCTTGAATAGTAATGTTAGGACTGTTTAAGCTGTTCCCTCAGTAGTTTAGTATTTTACTACTTGCAATGTATTATCTCCACTAACATGCCACCCTGGTGGACTTGATTAGCTGAGCATCAGGGCAGCATTGTAGCATCATAAACAGCTGGGCTAGGAAACTGAAATTTACCATGAGGGATGGTAACTGAATGCTGGCAGTGAAAGGGGATGCATGAGAAGGAAAGGATGAAACGAGTTTCTAGAACTGTCTGAAGAGTTCAGGATCTTTAATACAACAGGTTTTTAATGTTGTGATGACTGTATAGCAGGTTTAGGTACAAGGAAGCTGATGACTTGCATGTGTCACGGGTGTTCTGCAGGTGGATGAAGGGACAGTGAGCTTTGCATAATGGGGATCCACCTACTAGAGGGAAGCCTCAGAGATCAGGAAGATTTCAGGAAGCAGAAACAAAAATGGCAACTCTTCCTTCCCCAGTCTGGTCTCCTCTTGGGACCTGCTTTTCTTCCCCAGCTCCCATGGGATACAGGACCTCCATACCCCCATCCATCTCTTTCCAGAATCACCAGAACTTTTAGACAAAAAGCAATACCACCACTGCTCACTCCTCTGCAGGTGCTAAGAAGTAGTCAGAAAGAATGCAGCCAACAGCTAAAGTCAGGCCTTGTTCCTAAGGAAGAAATGGTACAAAATAGCTCGAAGAGTGCTGGCAAGAGGAGTTGCCCTTAACACAGCTGATCTTGGGTCTTCTTAAAAGCAAAAAGGTACCCAAACTGTAGCAACTAAAGTCTCTGGCAAGAGGAGTTGCCCTTAACACAGCTGGTCTCAGGTCTTCTTAAAAGCAAAAAGGTACCCATAATGTAGTCTAATCTGCTTTACCCTGCCTAGCTGCCACTCCCAATGTTTCAAATATCTGTATAAAGAGTTGATCACGTGCCACAGGATTTAGTATGGCAGTAAGAGGAAGCTATAGGTGGGCTTAGGAAAGAGGTCTGAGATGGGCAGAAGTAACTCCACAGAACAGTAGCTCCTAACAGACTGCATGGCAAGGGAGGACTCCACGGTGCTACCTGGCACAGCAGCTACTTCAGGATCCCTGTTGCCCTGGGACAAGCAACGCTGTTGCTTGTCTCTAGGAAGGCAGATTTGTTTGGTGGTTCATTTTATGTGCTCAATGGGTTAAGTTTTGAAGTCATTGACTCTAAAACTATTTACTGTTAAGTCTAAGCCAGACTTGCAGTGCTTTGGCTTTAGCATTCATTACCCTAGTTGGTAAGAGACAAGATCACTGCCCAGAAGGGATCCTAACACGATCAGACAGACCTACCTAGGTCTGCCTGTCTTCCACAGTACCAAAGTTTCTCTATTACTGAAATAGCAGGAAAGAAATTAATTAAAAAAAAAGCCCTTTGTAATAAAGTGGCTTATTGTGACCAAAGTTCAGCTGTCAACACGTATAGGCCTGCATTATGGCTTTCCTTCTGTGAATGCAAGTCTTACTTCCAGGCCTAGCTAGCCTGACCATTTCTGCAGACATTTAATAAACTGCCTGTTTTATAATCAAAATTTCATCCATTTAGGGCATCTGAGAAAACTACATATAATCCTATAACTTCTCTTTGTATTTACATATATAAGGCAGAAGTGAGAAAAGTTATTTTGTTCGTAAAAATTCCAAAAATGCAAAAGCATTTACAGAAAATCTAAACAATGAAGGGCTTCTTCCATGAAATGGGAAAGTACTTAGCAGTTCCGAGCCAGAGCAACTATAAAATTTCAGTCTTTTAAAAAAAACCCAGCAAGCACAAATTCCAAGAACCAGACAGAAAGGTTGTTCACCCCCAACCCTTTCTACCATTGCGCAGGTAGAATGATAAACAGCCTTTCTTTGCCCCCTAAAATCCTTACCTGTGAACAAGGGTCATAAATTTCCAAGTGTATCTGCCTCCCATCCAGGCATAAGTGTTTTGTGTAGATGCATTCTAAAAGATACATGGCATTCAAAAAAAAAAACTGGCATTAGAGTGACTGGGGGTGGTGGTAACAAGAAAAGGTGGCGAAGGTGAGATTCACTAATACTGAGGGACATTGAGTTCCTTGGGTATTGTTTGGTTTGGTTTTTGGGTTTGGTTGGGTTTTGACACACACTGGAAACAAACTTATTTTGCAACATACAAGCTCCCCAACTGGTTGGGTTTTGACACACACTGGAAACAAATTTATTGCATTTTGCAACATACAAGCTCCCCAAGCCTTTAGGCTGACCAACACCACTTCACTGTGGTGTGCCCATGGAAGTGTTGGTGCCATGAATGCTTTTAGACCCTAGTTTTCCTCTTCCTAATGGAGGCAAAGGGGATGTGCAATGTTCAGAACCAGGTAAATGCTGATGACATCTCAGCTTGCTACTGAGGTTCAGGATTATAAAAGTAGTAAGCCAGTCTATGTGTAAATTCTGATTCTGCAAAAAAAGAAATTATTTCTGTAATGTTTATTTATCATGAAATCCAGTGATTTAAGAGTTCTTAGCAATGCTAAGTAGCATTAGATCAATAGGATTTACAGAATCACATCTAAACTAGATCCTAAAATACTTCTGTAATGTCAATTTTCTGATGTAGGGCTCTCCACCAACCTGGGCAACTCTAGTGCAGACAGACCATTACTGTAATTTTAAGCAGTGAGTTGCTCTAAGCAAGTGTAACCAACTTGTGTTCACAGCATTAGTCACCAGTAAGCTGTCTACAGTTCAATTCCTCAGAGTGCCTGAACTACAGGGACAGCAACTGGTGTTGGCACTACTGAAAATACACCTCAAACTGGGTGTAATGAGGGCACAGATAAAGGCTGTGGTCTCTGGAAAGTTCAGCACCATGTTCATCTTTAGCATTCTTCATGCACGTCTTAAGAGTTCACCTGATGATAAACTTTCTCAGGGTATCAAATCTGTGGCCCCTTGGTGGTTTCCGTAATTCAACAAATTTTTAATTAATACTTTGACACCGTTAAGTGTTCTAGAATGATCTTGTATTTTATTCTCCCTATTCTCAATTTTCTCCTCCTTCCTCCTCTCTAGAAATAGAGGTAAACTTATCTTCAAACATTTATTCAAAAATGAAAGTGTCTTGAGGGTTTGACATCCCTTTTCTAATACTTCCAGTATTGCAGAGTCAGAACAAGGAAACCCGTTTTTAGTTGTAAGTGGCTTAGAACACACACAGAGTGCACGACATAACTTACACGTGACAGCTTAGACTTAGATAAACCATCTGGGACACAAACTATCTTTTCAGTCAGTGTTTATACAGCAATAACATTGGTAAAGCATTTATGTACAACTGCAACTACTTCCCGAATAAGTTCATTTGGATATATTCAGTGCAATTCAGCTTAGTGCTATAATTTTCAGTTTTATTTGTGGATCATAGAATAATATTCTGATTTGTTAAAAAGTGTTTTGGAGAAAGCCCTTCACTTTAGCAGGGAAAGGAAGGCAGATAGCAATCTCCTTTCCTTAAGTTTTGGGACTCCTTGCACCCCATCAGCTGCTGTGGCACACTTTTAGAGGGGCTTGTGTATCGGTTAAATAGTGCTTCCACCCAGGATGTGAAAATTCAAGTCCTGCTTTGTTGTTTTCCAAGATCTTAGAAGTGTCTTAAGGATCAGCACATTTGTTCTGCCACCAGCAAGAAATTCTACCCTCAACATGGCCAGGCTTTCCACAGAGCTACCAAATCAGCGCAGTCCCGCAGAAGCAGGGAGCTTTGCATCGTGCTTTGATTAACCAGTAGTGCCTGATAAACAATCAGTTTCACCTCCCCTCTAGAGCCGAGAGGAAGACAGTCAATAGAGCAGGTGTTGAGGGTGGTTGTTGGGGTTTTTTTTTCTAAGTCGATTTCTTTCCTCTCTTCTTTATCTCCCCTCTGATTGAGCTTACTATAATCTACCCCCACACAGCCCGGTTATCTTTCCTTCCTAAGTCCCTTCGCAGTGGCTTTGATGAGGAGTCCCCGTGCCCGGCTGCTCTCCTGGAGGCTGAGGTGATCTCTCCACAGATACCCGCCTTGCTTTGACCCCACACCCCCCCGTCTTCAAAGCTCACATTTAATCAGGGGCTCTGGCCGATAAGCACAGCCAAAACTTCCATCTTTCAAGCAAAGTTCTCTTGAACCCGCCACGTTCCTGCCCGATTTCTCCTTCAAATAAGCGGTTTGAAGAGTCGCATCTTGGCGTGTGGGTGGCCCCATCCCTGGAGGGGTTCAAGGCCAGGCTGGATGGGGCTTGGAGCAACCTGCTCTGGTGGGAGGTGTCCCTGCCCAGGGCAGGGGGGTTTGGGACGAGATGATCTCTAAGGTCCCTTCCAACCCAAACCATTCTGTGGTTCCTCAGGGGGTCAGCCCCGAGGGGAGGCCCCACACACCCCCCAAAAAGCCTTGCGGCCCCCCCCTTCACCCCTCCCCGGGGCCGGCCCGGCTCCCGCCGCCCCCCTTCACCCCCTCCCCGGCTCCCAGCGGCGCTCACCGGCGTTGGACGCGTACTCTCCGATGAACCGCCGGGTCAGGAACCGCACGGCCAGCGCTGCGGGAGGGAGGGAAGCAGACGCCAGGTTTAGCGGGGTCCCACCACCCTTCCAACCCAAACCATTCTGTGGTTCCTCAGGGGGTCAGCCCCGAGGGGAGGCCCCACACACCCCCCAAAAAGCCTTGCGGCCCCCCCCTTCACCCCTCCCCGGGGCCGGCCCGGCTCCCGCCGCCCCCCTTCACCCCCTCCCCGGCTCCCAGCGGCGCTCACCGGCGTTGGACGCGTACTCTCCGATGAACCGCCGGGTCAGGAACCGCACGGCCAGCGCTGCGGGAGGGAGGGAAGCAGACGCCAGGTTTAGCGGGGTCCCACCACCCTCCCTTAAACCAGAGTTAAAGTCAAGCCGGGGGTTGCCGAGGCCAGGCCTCCCCCCCCCCCCCCCCTACCCGCCTTCC